TTGGATTGTTTTGATTGAGTCAATTGAAGTCTGATCATCTTTTATTGATTTTTGCTGCAACCTGAGATAGATAGAATCTGATTAGGTTGTTAGAGCTTCTTCAATCGGTAGTAGTGAATCGATTATACGAGAGTTAGTAGATTCACTGCTTTGTACTGGAATCTAATTTCAGTATTGGAGTTCTGTGTTCATTGCCTCAGCGTTCTATCCCGGTGAAGACTAGTCGTCTGCGGATAGTTTGACTAAGAGGGCTTGGTCAGCTTAATAGATTCCAAGCTACTGTCGGATCTTCCACAGTATAATCAGCAGTAAAGCAACCAAAGGTAATTACAACTGTGACCTAACTTAGGAGCTAGGGGGACTCATTCCCAAGTGACTCTTCCTTTGCTTTAGAAAACCGAACCATTTCCTGCTTTCTTACTGTTTTTACTTAAATCAACAATCACTCAACTTAGTTTGCTAGATAACAGATATACACGGAGTAGGCAGTAGATCTAGACCTCGGGTTGACAGTTAGAGCTTGCCTGTTACTGCATTTCCGGACTGCAATTACACTTGGTCGCAGTTTGGTGTTATGTTTTAGCGAGTCAAGTTTTTGGCGCCGTTGCCGGGGAACCCTCTAGGTTATTGGAGAAACGTGAAAGTTTGTTACTCTAAGACTTTTCTTTATTGCATTTCCTCTCTTCCACCTGTGTGCCTTCACGGGTTGCTTTTGCTGATTGTGTGCAGGTAGTGCATGACCCGTAGCCAGTTGGGAGATTTACTGCCATTAGACCAGGAGCTTGAACGGACCTGTAGGAACTTCAAGCGGGCTCTAAAGGCGCGACTGGCTGCGGAGGAGGCGCTAGCACAGCTGCAAATCAACGACGAAGAAGAGATGGGTGACCCACGGGACCATGATGTGGTCCTTCCTGAGGAGCAGACCATGGGATATTACTGGACCGCCAGAGCCGCGGACATGAGGTCGCCCATTCAACACCCTCATGTACCAGCGAATAACTTTGAGGTGAGCACCTCTGTCATCACCATGCTGCGCGGTTCGGTAGTATTCCGTGGCATAGAGGGGGAGTGCCCCCGATCACATCTGATGGAATCAAGATAAATGGGGTCCCAGCCGATGCCATCTAGCTGAGGTACTTCCCATTCACTTTGGAGTGGCAGGCCAAGGAGTGGCTGGACACCAGGCCCCCTGGATCGATCACCACGTTCGCCAACCTGGCGGACAAGTTCCTCACTCGCTACCATCCCACGTCCAAGACGTCGGACCTGCAGAGCAAATTACCCACTTTGCTCAGGATGAAGATGAGACCATCCGAGATGCTTGGGAAAGATACACCAGTCTTTTCCTCAAGTGTCCCAACCATGGTTTTACCGACGCCTTCAAGGTGGGCACCTTCTACCATGCCCTCTTCTCGGAAGACAAGCAGCTGATTGACTCGGTCTGTGGCAGGAATATGCTCACCAAAACACCGCTACAGCTGAATCAACTTTTTGAAGAGATGGCAGAGTAGGGCTATGATAGGGGAACTGCGAGGAGATCGAGACGAAACCAGGGCGGGGTGTGCATGCTGTAGCCACCCAGTCATCTGATTTGGTGCAGGTGGTATCGAAATTGGTTTCAGCCATCGATCACTCCCATCACACCGTAGAGGACTGTCAGGCGATGAGGGAGTCGTCTATTCCCTAAGAGCAGGTGGACTTCATCGGCAATGCCAGGCGCTTCGACCCCTACAACAACACTTACAACGAGGGGTGGCGCCAGCATCCCAACTTCTCTTGGGTTGGGGCCAATTCTAGACCACCAGTCCCCCAGGGACCACTAGGCTTCCAGAGGCCTCCTTACCAGCCCAAACAAGGGTAATTTCAGCAGTCGCAGCAGCCTCTCTACCCGCCCAGATAGGGTCCAATTCCACATCAGTCACAGGTGCGACCATTTCATCAGACAGGGGCAGCACCCGCAGCCCTAGTATAGAGTGACCCGATGGCTGAATTGAGAGATCTGGTGGGTTCTCTAGCCACCTCCAGTGCAAACAAGTTTAGTAATATCGAGCAGTTCATGGAGAAAGCTTCAGGTAAATTCTTGGAGCTAGAAGCTGGCCAGAAAAACACGCAGGCTGTGCTGCGGGACATCCAGACCCAGCTTGGGAGTGTGGCCTAGGCTGTAGCTCAGAAGACTCCTGGTACTCTACCCGGTCAGACCATCCCTCATCCATAGGACCCAAAAGAGCACTGCAAGGCCATCACTACCAGGAGTGGCAAGATGACTGCTGATCCACCTGTTCGGGCACAAGAGAGAGAGAGACCTCTGCTTCAGCACTTCCTGCCAAGTTCATGGCAATGCTGAAGTAGGTAAACATAAGCATGCCCTTCGTGGAGGCATTATCGAAGATACCCAAGTATGCCAAGTTCATGAAGGATCTCCTCACCAACAAGAGGAAGCTTGGGGAGCTGTCAACGGTGATGCTCAACGAGGAGTGTTCTGCCATCCTGCAGAACAAACTACCAGAGAAGCAAAAAGACCCAGGGAGTTTTACTATCCCTTCCATGATTGGTAGTTTGCATATAGGGAAGTCCTTAGCGGATTTAGGCGCTAGCATAAATGTCATGCCATTATAGGGAAGTCCTTTACTATCTCTTCCGTCCGCATAAATGTCATTCCATGATTGGTAGTTTGCATATAGGGAAGTCCTTTACTTCTCTTCCGTCCGCTTGATGGCGCTCAATCTCTTCATGCAACCCATCTTTGTGACATGGGGCTCCACTCTTGGAGTCGCCTCTGCTTCCTCTTCCGAGCTCGAGCACTCTGCTAGTACGGCCTTCATTGCCGACAACTTGTGCTTTCTTGGGCAATCTCTCACACGATGTGGACCATCACAAAGGAAGCAAGTAAATGGTTTCTCAACCTTATGACTACCTCCTTGGTCCAGTCTACCACGCCTTCGTGTGTCTCTATCATAGTCGCGTCCACCTCCATTGACTCCGAACTCAACACGTTCCTCCGGCTCGTGGTACTCAACTAGGGACTCGGCAATCGCCATTGCCTCGGCAAGACTTTGCACACCTCGCCGTTGGAGCTCCAACTTCGCCCATGGTTGGAGGCCATCAAGGAAGGTGAACATGGCCTCCTTGTCGGTGTAGTCAGGGATCTCGAGCAACAATTCAGAAAATTCCTTCACATACCCTTGAATCTCTCCTTCGTGAGCAAGCCTCCTTAGTCTCGACCGGGCTTCAAACTCAACATTCTCTGGGTAGAATTGCCTCTTGATCTCCTTCTTGAAGTCATTCCATGACTCCATCACGCACGCCCCTTTATTGATAACGCCTTGGGTCCTTCTCCACCACATTATAGCAACATCATTCAAGTAAAGAGGTGCAGTTTTTACCTTGGTATTCTCATCTCGAATACCCGAAGCTTCGAAGTGTTGCTCCAAGCTCCATAGGAAGTTCTCTAACTCCCTTGCATTCCTCGACCCTTGAAAGCTCTTTGGTCTTGGAATCTCCATGGTTGAGGTAGGTTGTGCCGCGGCAGGTCCGTTAGCCATGGCCCTCTTCACAAGCGTCACCTCGCTTTTGAGCTCCGCAACCTCCTCCTTCAAGATGGTCACCTCTGCAACAACCGCCTCCTTCATTACCTCAATGGCATCATTCATGGCGGTGGAGATGGTGTCTTTGATGAGGACCATGAGCTCATCTCGAAGCCCTTCATTGCCAACCTCCAAACTCGTCATTCTAGCCGCCACACTTTGAACATCGCCTTGGATTTGGGTGAAGTTAGCTCCCAAATCCTCCATGACAGTGACAACTTCGGAAAGCTTCACCTCCATCCTCGAGACTCGCCTCTCTAGAGACTTGAGAGGATCACGAGTGCTCGATGTACCTTTTGACCTCGCACCCGCGGTGGGATCTCTTCCATGTTGCTTCTCACCATCGTCATGGACTTCTAATCCAGCCATCTTTGGTGAGGTTCTCGCTCTTTCTTACCTTCCTTCTTGGGGAGTGAGGACACCGATTCTTCTTTCAGAACCAGGCTCTGATACCAACTGTCACGACCTTACTCTTGGTCGTGCTGCCCTAGCTCTCAATTCCGTTAGAGATGCTAGGCAGCCTTCTCACAAGCTCTCAAACTCACTCAACTCACAAGAAGAAGACACAAGAAGATGGTAGAAACTCTATAGTTGTATTGCTCACAAAAATGATGGATGATTACAAATGAGGAGGAGGTGCTCTTTTATAGGCCCCCCTCTCTTACAAGGTATAAATACCTCTCATAATGCTCTCCCCCATTAACACACCCTATTAAGTTTCCCCCATAATGCACACCATTATACCATCTCATAATGTGGCTCTTTATGTGCACCTTTAAGCTCATATTCAAGATGGGGAATCCTAAGAGCATCCTATGCTACTAGGTCTTCCATAACGCCACACATGCTTGACTTGGTCATGATCCACCACATCACTTTCCATGTCACTCGCCACGCGTGACATTCTCCCCCACCTATTCTCGAGACGCTCCCGTCGCGTCCTTGCTACGAAATGCCTCCATCGACCTCGTGCAGCCTCTCTCGACTCTTAAGCCTCGTTGGTGACAGGACCTACTGGAGGTCACCATGGAGGAAACCGCACGGTGCGGAAGGTGGTACAGTTGGGCTTCTATTGGCCCTCTCTCTTCAAGGATGCAGACACCTTCGCACGATAGTGCGACCACTGCCAAAGGTTAGGTAACATTTCTTCCCGAGATGAGATGCCCCAACATATTTCTGTCATTTGTGAAATTTTTGATGTTTGGGGTATCGATTTCATGGGCCCATTCCCTCCATCTTTTGGCAATCTGTACATACTGGTTGCAGTGGACTACGTCTCAAGGTGGGCAGAAGCTCAAGCCATTCCCACCAATGATGCAAGACGGGTCTGCTCATTTCTGAAGAAGCTTTTCTCCCGGTTCGGGACACCTCACGCCATCATTAGTTATAGAGGAACACATTTTCAAGGGCAATTCACTGAACTCTTCTCTCGCTATGGTGTTAAGCATCAAGTGACGGTGGCTTACCATCCTCAGTCAAATGGGCAAGCCGAGTTGACGAACCAGGAGCTTAAAAGAATAATTTAAAAGACGGTGAATCAGTCTCGCAAGGATTGGTCCACCATGCTCGATGATGCTCTTTGGGCATATAGGACAGCCTATAAAAACCCGATTGGCACGTCCCCCTATAGGCTTGTCTATGGAAAGACGTGTCATTTGCCAGTAGAGCTAGAGCATAAGGCCTTATGGGCCCTTAAGCTGCTAAACGTAGATTTGAGTGTTGCAGGTACTGAACGTAAGTTGCAGCTGCTGGAGTTGGAGGAATGGCGTTGCCACGCCTACGAGAACACCCTGCTCTACAAAGAGCGAACCAAGCGTCTCCACGATGCTCCATTGAGGGGCCCGAAGGAGTTTCAGGTAGGTGATCGTGTTCTGCTCTTCAATGCACGCCTGAAACTCTTCCCGGGAAAGTTACGTTCGAGGTGGTCGGGACCCTTTATGGTCACCCAAGTATTCCTGCACGGGGCAGTGGAGATCAGCAATGCTCAAACTGAGCCATTCAAGGTGAATGGCCACCTCCTAAAGTTGTACTTGGGAGGTGCTGTTGAGCGTGCAGAGCTGCTGATCAAGCTCGAGGACCCTTAGTTCCTCTACTGGCGTCCAGCTAAAAGACGATAAAGAAGCACTTGTGGGGAGGCAACCCCACCACGGTTTGCATTTCTACCCTTTTTCCTTTCCATTTTTGTCGGTTTTTGAGTCTGTCTGGAAAGTATTTCGTGCCTTGGGCTGTTTATTTTAATATGTGACTGGGTATTTTTTTTCGATCCGGGGCACGATCGAGTTTTGGTGGTTTGAAATTGTGATTTTGAAAAAATGCAGAGGTGGGCTCGGCATAAAAAATACGGGCGCCAGGGGAGAAAAACACGGTCGTGTTTCCTCCCCTGCCCACCCATCTTTTAGCCTGTTGAAGATTGCCCTCTCGGCATAAAAAAACACGGGCGGAGGGGTCCAAAAACACGGCCGTGTTTTGGATCCAACCCGCCCGTGTTTTCAACAGGTGGAGGCACGCTCTCGGCCTAAAAAACACGGGCGCGGAGCATGGGAAACACAGCCGTGTTTCCGTCAGCCCGTGTTTTAATGGCCCCCCTATAAAAATTGATTTTTTGCCTTCCCCCCTCCCCTCAGATTCATTTTTTCAAACTTCCAACCGCCCCCCTCGCCGGAAAATCGGATTTCCTCTCTTCTACACCGTTTTTTCGGCCACAACTCCCTCTCCCGACTTCTAAATCACAAACCGCAACCACCCCTACGCTCCTGGCTCCGAGGAGCACAATCCCCAGAGGTTTGGGCTTGTTTGGCGGAGGTTGGGTCGCCGACAACGAGTTCTCCGGCGAGTCTCCGGTGGGTTTTCCGACGACTTTGGAGTGTTTTCTTTCCTTTTCTTCACCTACCTTCCGGTATCTACTTACGTCTCCAGGTGTATTTTCATGGTCTCTTATTTTATTTTTGGAGAATTGATACCTAGAGTTAGGTGAAGAATTTGGGATTGTGGCATGCTTTGAGAATGAATTGGTAGGTCGATGGCGCTCTGTGCTTGTTATATTTTTTCCCCGGGATTTAATTTCCTCTGCCTACCATTTACATGTTGGAATTGTATGTATGCTTGTGTGGCGTATGTGTGGTGAATGGTTGATTAGTGGATATTTGGGATCGGATTTTGTGTTTGTTCCACCGGGGGCCTAGTCCACTGCCCAAATCGCTCAATTGAGGGCCCCCGGTGTGTTTGTTTGTGTGATTCTTGTTGTGATTGGTATGCTTATTTCACCGGGAGCCTAGTACACTGTCCATAGCTTTCGATGTGAGGGCTCCTGGTGTGTTTTCCGCCTAACATTGACCCTGTTCGCTTGGTTGGCATTTGTACATCCTTTTGCTTTGCAAGACCATGGAGGCCTACCTTGACCAATTGACAATCACACAACGCCACCTGCTGTGGAACATCCGTACACGCCATATCGCCGAGCACCTGCATCTCGACTTTGGGGTGTTCGAGGCGCTTCATGCCCGGCCGCAGATGGGGGCCGCTGTTCGCGCCTATGGTTGGAGGCGCCTTCTCCGCCTCGCGGAGCCGACCTACCAGGAGCTCGTCTGGGAGTTCTACACCTCCTTCTCCCACTCCCAGAGGAGGTTGGCCGACCATGCCGATGCGGTACATATCACACTCGGCGGGGTGGAGCACTCCATCAATTATTGGGAGTTGGCCACTGCACTTCTGCTCAACTCCCCTCACCCCAGCGACCGCCCCTTGATCGTGGAGGTGACCGATCCCACCAACTTTGGTGACCAGGCCTACTTCAAGCGCATCTGCCTACCGGACTATGCGGATGAGTGGTACATCGCCAGCCAGACGCGGGCCACTCTCCTCGGTCCGGGGTAGCGGATCCTCAACCACCTGCTCACCCAGTCCTACACTCCCAGCCGGGGCTCGGCTAACCGGGTCACCCTTCGGACCCTGTACTTCATGCACGCGATGGGTCGCTCTGAGGACACTATCGAGTTGGGATCTGTGCTCGCCTGGACATTCACTAAGGCTTGCGCCAGCCTGGATCGCCACCTTGTCTGTGGTCCGGTGATCACCGCCCTGGCCCGCTACTACGGGTTCGACACCACTAGGATGACCATGGTACAAGCACCGAACCCATTCAGTGAGGCCACCCTCCGACATCAGCACATGCTTGCGCGTGAGGGGCGTGCGTTTGGCATGAATAGCGGGTCTCCCTCGGCCGCCTGCACCTGAACCTTCTAGGGACGACCAGCCAGACTCGAGCGCTGTTGGGGGGCATCGGGTTCCCCGCCGTACTGTTCGTCGTGCCCAAGACCCCGCGAGCCCCTCCGCTGCTCCCGGGTGTTCCACTCCTGCGACCTCCATTGCTGACCAGTTGGCGGCCATTGCTCAGCAGAACAAGCACATTCTGGCCGTCCAAGAGAGCATTCACACCCGCCTCGATCGTGAGCGAGACCGCGGCCGTCGTGTGATGTCCGGCCAGCACTACATCATGTCTTACCTGGGCTTGGACCCGAACTCGGTCCACCACCCCTTCGTGCAGTCACTGGGGTATGAGGACGAGTACCCTCCACCCACCGGCGATGGTGGCGATGCTAACTAGTGGCGAGTGGCTGGTTCTGCACTTCATTTGGTTTCCAGACTGAGACTCCATTTTTTGTTGTTTCTTTCTATTTTATTCTTTTGGATTGTAGACATGGAACTCCGGTTATTTCACCCAGTGTGTGTCTTTTGATGACTTTAGCTCTGTGCCCTGGACTGGTCCCCCTTCCAGTCCCCTGCTATTGACTAGTCTGCCTTCCAGTCCCCGTTCCTGATCTCATTTCACGGTAACATGGTTCCCCTTCCCTCTGCTACATTGAGGACACTGTCGCATTTAAGTGTGGGGGGGTTCTTTGTATTCATTGGAACATATATATGTGTTCTTGGAGCCTAGTCCGATGTCCAAATCTCGAGATTTGAGGGCTCCAAGTATTGTTGTTTGCTTGATCGTATTGGCCCTGTGGATTTGATTGGTGAATTGAATGACTTTCGATTTAATGCATGTCAACTTGATTGTAACTAGGAAAGCCTATAATGATGGCTGAGACGTGCAGTAAAATTGTGTAGGGGTTCAGTTTCTCAACTGTTTGCTTACCAACTGTGACTTGGATTGATCACTTGCTCTTGACAGTCGTTTATGCATCTAGTTCAGGGAATCAAAATGAGAGATAGAGCATATAGGTAGCCATGTGAGATTTGAGCCTGCTCGTTTCTTTCTTGTGTGATAGTTCCCTCTTCCATGATGTGTAGCATTCACATTGCCATTAGCTAAGATGATGGAGGCATAGGATTAGCCCATGACCAAATTGATTGTCCTGGTGTGTCAAACCCCCTAGTCAGCCCTTTGAGCCATGTACTTTTCTTCCTTTCGGTCTGCAATGGAAAATCACCCTTTTGCATCTTTTAGAAGGTTCCACAGAGTGGTTTTTGCATGTTCTCTGCTATTTCTGCTAAATTTAATGTGAGGGTTGGAGGTAATGCTTAAAACACGGGCATGTGTTTGAAAAATATGCAGAGGTGGTGGTTCTCTCAAGAAAGAAAATAAAAAAAAATGAATGAAAGCAAAGAGAGCCACTGCCCAAAATTATGAATCATGCTCATTAAGTAGTGTTTCTTAGCAGTCTGGCTTGGAAATACTAGCATTTATGTGACCTCCTTCGCCCTTGTGTTGTAAAGAATTTGAGTAATGCAGAATAGCAGAAAGGAAGTTACTGGTTCGTTTGACTATGATTGTGTTGGGTTTGGAACCGTGGAACCTTGTGCTATGAATACTTCCACCACCTAACATTTGAACCCTAGCCAAGACCCTAGCCAGTCATTTGAACCTGTGTCTAAGACCTCCGGATTAGTTAGTGGTGACACCCGATATGTGAACTCTAACATTTAGAGGCCGTCGTCATAGTGAGAGACGTTAGGAATTGAGAGTATGAGTATGCACATCTTGCATCAAAATTCTGTCCTAACCCCATTGGTCGAGAGTGAGCGATTTATTTCCTCTTATTTTCTACACTCTTTACCCCGGTGAGGACCTAGATTGCTCGGTCTTAATTCTGATATCTTGAGCTTTGTGCATGAAGTGACTATCTTGAATAAGTGGTTGAGTCAAGTCTATGTTGGTTGGTGAACAGAAGGGAGACTCTTCCTTTGCTCGACTTTGATGCATTCGAATGTCATCTGTGGTGGTTGTCTAGGTTTTCTTTGAGGTTGTCCATGTGTTAATGATCAAAAGCCAGTATGATTCACGTGTTTTGTGCTGATATGATACATCCCAAAAGCCTGCTTGATTAAAACGTTTTGAGCTTACCTTGTGTCTGACTTAGTTTGCTTGGGGACAACAAACGGTTAAGTGTGGGGGAATTTGATAACGATGTATGTGCACATGTTTGCACCATTAGTTCTTATCCATTTGCGGCTCGTAGTCGTGTATTTTTGGTCTGTTTTACGCTGGGTTGTGCTACTTTGTCATATTTCAAGTCCGAGACGTCGAAGGAAAGGCTAAGCATGAGATTCGGGGCGTTTGGAGGTCATTCATTCGGTCGAGCTGGGAGCAAAACACGGACAGGAGGCCTGAAGAACACGAACGTGTACACAAACGAGCACGCCAGTGTTTTATGTGCGAGAGCTGAACTGATGGAAAAGCAAAACACGGGCTGGCCTTAAAAAGAACACGGCCGTGTCCCAGGCCATGGTTTTTGTGCCGAAGCTTGATTGAAGGGAGCTCCTGCATGTCTAAAACACGGGCAGATTTGAAGCAAAACACGGTCGTGTCCATCTTTAGGCATGACCGTGTTTTGGCCGACGCGGGCATGTTTTTAACACGTGCAAGGGCATGGACGGGCAAAAGCAAAACACGACCGTGCCCTCAACAGTGTTTTGCCCAGTATCAAATTTTTGAGGCAGATTCGAGCCAAGAGAGAGGGAATCGACTTTTTGGGAGCAAAAACAGAGTTTTAGAGAGAGAAAGGGCGAAGAACAAACCCTAGGATCTATTTGGAGTGCATTTCTCACCATTGAAGCCCAGATTGCATCCCTAGGAGTGAAGATTGACATACCAGAGCAGATTTTCTTCATCTTTATGAGTATGACTACT